CTAATCACAGCTCGCCTTCGGCTCGCAAAACCCTCTTCGCATCAAATCTGTATCATTTGCACTGGGCATTATTTTATAGCTCCTCAAAACGTGCGCTTATGCAGAAAAATTTTTTAGACATCAATGGCTGGTGTAGCGGTGTGATTAGGTCTCGTCGTGTTTGCAGCGTTGGGGACGCCGTAGTGCCTCGGCCGCACGCGGCCTCGGCGCCTACAGCGCCCCAAAGCTGCAAACACAACTCGACCGTAATCACACCACTACCAGCCCTTGATGTGTAAATAACTAATATTCCTAAACGATTATCGTGCTGGTATCCGCTCGCCCGTACGTACGCTCGGTTTTTACAGGTTTGTCGTGCCTAACGCGACTAAAGAAGTTTCACTTCAAAAATTCAATAAAAAGGAGTTGCATTTTATGTTTTATAAGTAAAAAACTAATGATATGCCGATGCAATAAAATTATTCTTCTGATATTAATTAATAAAATTGTAATAAAAATGTGAAAAAATTGTTTCTCTACTTTTAATAAAAGTTTTCAATCGATTCATAAATGTTATTCAGTTTTTATCATCATACTCTATTATTCCTTGATAGTTTTCTGCATGCGCGACATGCGACAATAATGTTTTCCAAAAAATTTCCACAAGAAATAGAATAAATAAATTATCAAAAAATGGCTAAGTCCATGAAATATGTTATTTAAAAGCTCCTGTTAAAATTTAAGCTCAATCCACTTAATAGTTCGTCGGCGTCGGAAATGCTGCCCTAATGCTCTTTCATCGTGCGAGCATCAAATTAAAGTTTGTTCGGGGGATGGCACATTATTAATCTTCAATCTCTATCGCTTATCGCTTATTATATGGCGCTGATCATGCAAACTTCGTTTTTCTTACCGCGAGTCAGCTCGACGAGATATTATGGAACCCGCATATATCTAATTGATAAAAGGATCGGTTGAAAATTGAGACGAGTATCTGACTTGATAGTCGTCGAGCGTCTCGAAAAAAGAAAGATTTGAATTGAATGGAGGTATCGCTGTGGTGCTCGTAAAATTTTTTGCTAAGCGCGAATTGACCGAGAAGACGGTGAATATTGATATATGGTTACTCATTGACCCGAGTATTGGAAGAAAGTATACTAATTAGTAGTAGGTGAAATCTGAAAACACCATATTGAAGTTGAACGCAGGTGGAATATGATATTTGATATTAGATAGGACTCAATCATTTTGTATTGTCAATAAGCATCTATATAATATTTACAATTGTCAGTCATCATTTCTTCTTACATTCATCGCGAGCAAAATCTTTCCGATCTTCGCATACACTGTGCTTTGATGTACGAGCGAATTCGATTCTTCTTCGCAATTTTACTCATGCATAATATTTCTAACCTTTGTGGATTGTCTTCAGATGGGCGAGCAAATTCCAATTATGCCCAAATTTCTTCTTGCATTTATCACATTCGTAATCTTTTCGACCCTCGTGGACTGCTTTTCGATGTTTTCTCAAATTGCTTTGATCCCCAAATTTTTTCCCACAAATGTCGCATGCAAAATCTTTGCGGCATTCGTGTACTATCTTTTGATGATAGAGCAAATGTGGTTTTTGTCCGAATTTCTTTTCGCACTTGTCGCATGGATAATCTTTGCGACCTTCGTGTACTATTTTTTGGTGGATAAGCAAAGTCTGCTTGTGTACAAATTTCTTCTCGCACTTGTGGCATGCAAAATCTTTGCGACTTTCGTGCACTGTTTTTTGGTGTTTAATCAAATTACTTTGAATCCCAAATTTTTTCTCGCACTTGTCGCATGGGTAATCTTTGCGACCGTCGTGGACTGCTGTTATGTGCATGAGCAAATTCCATTTATTTCCAAATTTCTTCTTGCATTTATCACAAGCGTAATCTTTTCGACCCTCGTGGACTGTTTTTTGATGTTGTCTCAAATGGCTTTGATCTCCAAATTTCTTCTCACAAAGGTCGCATGCAAAATCTTTGCGACCGTCGTGTACTGTCTTTATGTGAAAGAGCAAATATCGTTTATTTCCAAATCTCTTGGCGCACTTTTCACATAAGTAATCTTTTAAGATATCGTGGAATATTTTTTTATGCTTTAGTAAAGTTGATTTATTTTCAAATTTTTTCTCGCACTTGTTGCATGCGTAGTCTTTGCCACTTTTATGTGTTTTTTGATGCGTAACCAAACTCGATTTTTTCACAAATTTTTTCTTGCACTGGTCGCATGCAAAATCTTTGCGGCTTTTGTGTTCTGATAATTGGTGTCTTCTCAAATGACTTCGAAACTCAAATTTTTTCTCGCACTTGTCGCACGCGTAATTTTTCCGATCATTGTGGGTTGTGTCTCGGTGTGTTATCACGTTTGATTCTAGTGTAAATGCCTCCTGACAAATGTCACCAACGTTTTGTTTGTCGTCTGAAACAACAATGTCGTGTTTGCTCGAATTATTTTCCGAGACAACTTCTTTGATTTTCTCCTCGCTTTTATTCATGTTGGTATCTAAATTAAACGATGTATCTTTCTATACAGTGTTAAGAAAATTTAAATGAGTAAAATATATCTTCTGGTATTATGGCTTGTTTCATTGAGGTATACCAAATTCAAACTAATTTCGTTTCACTTTAAACATGATCAGTGTTTCGAGGAATAATGTAAAAATTGTTTGTAATCATAATGTTTACAATTAAGTTACCGATTTATTTGTTCATTCATTATCTTCGCAACATTTGAAACAATTTAAAGATCAAGCTTAACGAAAATGTTTTTCGAAGAATTTTTAGACCTTCTAAAAACTACGTACTTCTAAAAAATTCCCTCGTGACATGGAGCAACGTTATAAAAAATGTTAAAATTCATTCCGTAATTTGCTGCCTCCCACGGCATGTCGATATTTGCGTGCTGCTTAAACCTTCACCGCGTCTGCGGCGTTGTTAAATGAGGTAGATTTTCCTCGACATTCAAACCAATAAATTCACCGTGTACGTCACCGTGTAGCGATTGCCGAACTTGTTTAGATAAAAAAAAAGAAATCATTTACGAACTCCTATCCCGAAAAACGCTCGCCACGATCGCGAACTTTCAATTTTTGTATACGTATATAATAGCGGCGCATCCCGATCGTTAATTGTTGCAGATCGACAGCGACGCAACTTGCTCTACTGCATTTTGCATTCGGCTCACGCCAGGTGTCTGCTATCTCGTGTATATCGTGCGCGTATTACGTCGCACGAGCTCGAGCTCATAATCATAAAGTTCCTTGAAATTTGCGATATATATGTATTTATTTATTATACGATCGTTGATTCATCGACACGCGCGCGACTATACGTATACGACGACGACGACGACGACGATATTGTAAGACAAATGAGCTGTCACAACAACATATTCTAAAATCGATTCATTTTTCTCTTCGTTTTAGTCGTTAATTCGAAATCGACGCGTCATATACGACACTCAAATTCAATATATCAAAGTCTTTTGCACCAGCTCAAAATTATCAACAAAAAAAAAATACGCACCTCGCGTCTCGCACGCATTACACACGCGTAGCAGCGCGTCGTTGCTTCGAAGCATGTGTCGAGCGCTTCAACTGCCAAAGTAAGGAAACGGAGGGGAGAGGGGGGGTAGAGACGCGCTACTCGCTACACAAGGTGTAGATAAATGTATCAGCTGACTCGTAGCGCCGCGACTAGTCGACTCTGCGCAACGCGACTGCGCGCGGCCTCGCTCTCTGCTCCGTACTCCACACAGTCCAGCGTTGTGGAAAGGTTGCTGCAACATGTCCGCCGCTGGCAGCGTCGTCTGCCACACGGGGGCGCGTTGTAATTTCTTTATCGACCAACTCGCTGCTGCCAACTTATGAGCTACGCGGCAATTCAATTTGATGCCGGGATGTGTAAAAACTGCCTGCTTTCGCTGACAACACAGCGGAAAGAAGAAAATAAAATAATTAAAAATAATTAACAGTGTATTCATTTATTTTCTCATAGAACAACAAAACATAAGCATCTATAGCTATAAATGTAATAAATTCTTCAAAGTCTATGACTTTGAAGACATCGTCTTTAATATGATATCATACCTCTTTTGTTTTACATGGGCTGCATTTACATTTCCCCGTATAAAATACCAATATTTCAAAAAAGTTTTCTGATGAGTATGTGTTTAAAAACCATACGATCTGGCTGACGTGCAAAGTTGTACGGCAGCCCATATATATTTTTCTTAATTTCTCTTGTTCGGACCTGTAACAAAGAACACCGGACCGAGTTTGATTTTGCAAAAGCGAGAAACGTAAACATAGCGAATCATGGTCTCTGCATATGCTAGCGTGTTGGTATTTTTTTTATGACCACCTATGTTATACACACAAGCAGCCCTCATTGCGCTTTGTTAACGTTTTTTCGCTCTTGCAGAATTGAACTCGAAGCAACGAGCTATTTTACGCGCGATTTTTTTATTGCTCATTTGTTTCCTACCAGCCCATAACGAGTAGTGTTTGCGTAGTAGTGAAATTAATACACTGTTATTTATTTTTAGTTACTTAATTTTCCTCTTTCCCACTTTGTTGTCAGCGTAGGAACATGTTTTTACACGTCCCGGCATCAAATTGAATTGTCGCGTAGCTCATAAGTTGGCAGCAGCGAGTTGGTCGATAAAGAAATTACAACGCGCCCCCGTGTGGCAGACGACGCTGCCAGCGGCGGACATGTTGCAGCAACCTTTCCACAACGCTGACACAGTCAGTCTCCCTCTGGACGCGAACGGAGTCGTATACATATACGGTGAAACGTGCATCGGTGTGTATTTCGTCGCTTTTTTGTTTTCGTCGACGCTGCAGTGTGTTGTTGTTGTTGTTGCTGTATAAGTGTGTGTTCTCGCGCGCCGCTGTGTCTTTTGAAGCACTCGTCGTCGTCGTCGTCGTCGTCGTCTTCTCGCGCCCGACGCCGGTAAATAAGTTTTTGTCATAGTAGTAGTAAGTAGTAGTACGTCTTGTGTGCTGCGCGTATTATCATCGTATACATAAACAACGGTGTGAATGAACCGGAGCTTTTGAAGTCTCGTCGTCGTGCTCGGGCGCATACCTTTAGTCGCACTTACATATATAGTGTACGTCATAACAACAGCGCGAGGGTGGCCGAGAGGGAGCAGCGTATATATACGTACAATACGGAAAAGACGACGCTGTGCAAGTGCGAAAGAATAATAATAATAATAATAATAAAAACAAGTGGCTTTGAAATCATCGCGCGCTCCCTTCTCCGCGTCTTTTCCTCGACTCTTACCGCTGCTGGCTGCTACTGCATCTTTGCAGAAGGTATGCAAATATTTCTGCATCTTTGTTGTTGTTGTTTTTTTTTCTTTATCATTCTCTCGCTCGTTCGAGCGAGCTGAATTCGCGGAGAATGAAATTGAAAAAAAAAAAATTGCGTTAACGAGCGGGGACGGACGTTGCAGTACACAAACGATACATGTATATAACATGTATCGCATACCATCGCTCGTGCATGTAAAAATACGATTATATTATGTTGGTGTATATGTGTATTATATATAGATCGAGGGAACCTTGCACGCAGCAGAAAACGCGATGCCGGCAGTTGTACACACACACACACACACGCTCATTTAATACATTTACATAGATGTATACTCGCGCAACGCAGGGCACGAGTACGCGTGTATGTATAGCAGGATGTGGTTCGATGTACTATACACACACACACACACACACACACACATGGATAAGTATATACCGAGGCACGTAGTACGCGTGCTACGCAGCGATTCATCCGTCGCGCGCTTATGATGTATCACATTCAAAGCAGCGTGTATGTAATATAAACAGTGCAGTAATGTGCGCGCGGCTGAGATTTTCACGAAAAGCAGAGTGCGATAATGCGACGACGATAAAAATGATAAGGGATGACCATAGAGCGTAATTTCTTTGCCCGCGCTTCCGCAATAACCGATGTATCTTATATATGAATTTGAACAATTTCGTTATTTACTCGCGTTGCGATTTTGGCATATTTTTCCCCGTTGCGATTTGTGTATGTATCATCGAAGCGGCGATAATTATGCGAAATTTAGCGTCGCACTGAAACACACACACACATACTTTGATATCGATAAGCCGCCTGTTATTTTACTTAACTTATGTTTCTTTTTCCTTCGAAACTTTTATCAAACTTTTTTTTTTAACGGTTACTCCCGAATTTATTACCGGCGCGCGCGTGTGCGTGCTTTGTCGTCGTGCAGGCAACGAACGGTGCCTGTTTCTTTTTTTTTGCTTTTCAACTCCCTTGATTACAACGAACGCCTTATTTATGCGAGTCGTTTCGGAACGACGTACAAGAAAAAAAAATAATGATAAAAGTATTAAGATCGTGAAAGAAAAGAAAAGCTATGTGTCGTTGCCGCTGTTGCTGCTGCTGCTGTTGACGTTTGACGCGTACGTTCACAAAAAAAAGTGCTATCACTTATCGTCGCCGGGAAGCTTAATTGTATATTTATAAAGCCTTTATTGACTCGAGCTCGAGCTGTCCGCATGTGTATGTGTGTTTCTTTTCACTCCATCAATGAAGAGAGACGCGTGTTATACTTTTGCATACACAATTCGTGTATACGATATACGTACTCTTTCTCGCATTGTTTTCTGCTTATGTACGGTGTACGTTTGTGCGCGTGGGTGTCAGGAAACGAGATAATTCATATTATATTTTTTACCTATTACGTTACGTCGGATGCACGTCGCGGAGTTATCTCCGAGAATCGATCGGATCCGAGTCGTCTCTTATCGATACCGGCCCGAGTCAATTTTCGTGAATATTATATATTGTACAGCGACAATATTGACATTTCCTCGTGTCGTCGCCGCCAAGCGTTTTTACGAACGGGAACGTCATTCGGCACGAAATTCGTATATAATGTATAATACTTTAGTACACATAATCCGTTGTGCGCATATATTAGAGTGAATATAGACGCTTTGCTTTGACTTTTTTTCTCTCTCTCTCTCTCTCTCGCTTACAGCGCATTATTTATCGCCCGAAGAGTTTTAAAAACTCGATTCTTTCGAGATCTGTGTGTGTAGTATTGCCGCGAAGCAGTCGTTCTTTTTTTTTCTCGACGATTATACACGATAATGTACAAGTAGTTTTTCAAGGATCATACTTGAGGCATTAGTAAGTCTCGACCGCGCGAAATATGCGAAGCACAATATACGTACATACACACACACACACACACAACGAGAGTTAGTTTAACTGTTATATAGATACTACTCATTGTCGTATTACACACATATAGCGCGCGCTCGTTCCACATTATAGCCGCGGCGTTGAATCATCTCAAACTCGGATTATCGTAGCATATATATTTTGCAGCGGAGCTCGTGTATACATACGATATACAAATATCGTTATTATTATTGTTGTTATTATTACTCGCTAATCGCGAGGAAAAAAAACGAGGAAAAAACGTGCTCGCGCGCGTTATTTCGCCATTTCTGTAATGATTGTTCGAATTAATTTCGACGGAAAAATTGCCTCGGATGCAGCGCGGCATAGACGCGTGTTTTTGTTGTTGTTGCTGTTTCAGTTTTTTTTTTCTTATTCTCCGACAATTGGTGCGTTGAAAAATCTAGTTTACGCGTGATAACGATATGTAGGAGCAACAACAACAACAACAACAAACAATTACATTTAATTTCGTTTCGTTTACAACGGCGTGCACACACGCGGTATGCGTGCGCGCGTTACATTATTATATACCCATGATACACGTATATATACGAAAAATTAGTAGACTGAGAAGATGAAAGGTGTATCATAGACAATATAGCGCACGCAGCAGTGGCGTATTTCCAACAATTAACGGCGCGTCGTTTCTTATTATAAGTTTCTCGGGCGCGAGCGAGCGAGCGATTATAAATTAAAAACATTTATGTAGTTGGGAAAATTAAGCCATGTGCATTATATGTATTACGAAGATTTGAAACGAGCGGTGCGCGCGAGGGTGGTGGGAGGGAAAGCGCGGCCTCCTCTGCACACATGCACGCGCGCAGACACTCAGAAGTGCACTCGTAAATGTAATTCGCGATAAAAGTATAATTTTTCCTCGCGAGAATTAAAACTTTCGTAAATATATAATAAGTATATATGTGATGATCATACGTCTGGCCTGGAGAGCTGTGTACATGTGTGTGTATATGCGTTCCAAGCCGATGCTCGTTGCACGGCGATTTCCTTGTAAAACAGCTCGTGAGCGCGCGCGCGTGATTCACGGTATTAGACTTTTCTGCGTGCCGAACGCATCTTCTGTACTTTATCGAACGACCTCGCGAATTTTCGTTTTGTGAATTCGTAATATTATTAATATATTATATGTACGACTGTTGTAATAAAGCCACGAGAGATAGAGAGAACTCTCCGGTCTGTCCGAAAAACGAGTTTTTCAAGATTTGGGTGAAAAACGTCGCTCGAGAGAGTAACTCTTCTTGCGTGTTCGCCTTCTTCTTCTCCTTTTTTTTTTTTTTTTTGAATGCAAGTGTGTGTGTGTCGGTTAAAAAGTCCCTCTCGCTGTCATCGGCAAAAAACCGCAAACTTGACGCCCAAAAGCGAAGCAAAGCAAAAAAAAAACACGGCGCTTACGTATCATCGTCGGCGCAGCTCGGCCTTATAAATGTTCGCAGTGTATATAAGCGTCAGTAATCGGATGCTGCTGCGCAGAGGGATAGTTTTCTGACCGTGACACAATTGACGGAGTAAAGAGGAAAAATAAACTGCACACACTGACGAAAAAAAAAAGGGAACGCGTGCGTCCGTGTGTACTCGAGAAAATTGTGGGTTTCGGTGACACTGCGCGACACACACACATGGACACACGACTATTAAGGCGATCTTTTGGGTTCACAGTACACATGTGTGTGTAAATGGCATACATAACGCATCGGACAATTTCGTGCATGGATAGAGTAGTAGTAGTAGTTTGACACGCGTCAATTGTTTCGCTAATTAAAATTCACCTCGGTCACATTTTAATGTACACACACGCGTGTCGACTGGTGCTCGTTAAAAGGTCCAAGTTCGATGATTCTTTTTTTTTCGTCTTCTGTAACCAGTTCAACGACCTTAATTTCTATTTCTCGTAGTTAAATGGTGAAATTTAGAAGGATGTTACCATTGCCAAATCTTATACGATGTATAATGTATGTGTATATCTCTAACACATAATTAATAGGTAAATTAAATTAAAATACTCAACGATCAAAGCCGCTGCACTCGTGGCTGCAGCGATTACGTACATCATCGACCTCTCACCAAGATACATAGAGGGCTGAATTATTTTTACGCATTGCGAGTGCGAAAAAAAAAACGAAGCCCACTGCACAGCGGTGAGAAACGAGAAAGACACCCACACGCAGCACACGCTATTGCGATCGCCATATAGGCTCCCCTACTTGTGAGAACAACGTGTCGATGCGTGGGTCCCTGTGTATTAAAACAAAGGCACCACAGCGTATATAAGAGCTTAAAAAGTTAAGGCTCGCACACTGTGTGTTATAGACGCTGATGTACAGACCCACATTATGTAAGCATGTTTTCGATTGTAAGAATAGCTTGACTGGATGTCTCTCTCACTGATTGATTTTCAGTTTTTTTTAATTTTATTATTATAATAAAATTGATTATAAATTTTGTGCATTTCACGGTTTCATCATTGTTTGTTGTTTGTATTTTCTGCGTCTGATCGGTGAAAAATACACAACCACAATCATACACACATACAGTCACTACGCATGTGAAACCGGTACGAAACCGCACGATAACGAGCTCGCTCCTCGCTCTCCAACTCGGGGGAGGCCAAACGTTATAATATTATAGTCTGCATCTCGAGTCAAACTCGCAGCGGCAAACCGAGAGAGCGAAAAAATATATATATCCCGAAGAGATAGAAATATTGAATTCAGAAGCTTCGCCTCTCGTCGTCGTCGTCGTGCCCGAGACATATGCCTCGTATCGGCCTCGGGGCATTTCTCTTCCCCCGATTCTTCTTCCCCGCTGCTTTTGCCACCGACTGCGTTTTTTGGCTTGCATTCGTATTTCGACGCGAAATACAAAATACAAAATATACAAAAAAATTAGAAAAAAAATATCGTAAAAAGTATATACACAGGATATCGCACGCGGTGTTTTATATAGTGCTCGGCCTTTATTTTACGAAATGTCTCGGTCGCGCTATGCACTTTATATACACACACGCACACAGACGGACACAACCGGAAATTCGATGGGATGCGCGCGGTATATACCA